AAATGACTGCTGACTTTCCCTATGAAGAAAGGTTAAAGCGCTTAGGGCTCTTTAGCTTGGAGAAACGACGGCTGAGGGGTGACATGATTGAGGTTTATAAGATTATGCATGGGATAGAGCAGGTTGAGAAAGAAGTCCTTTTCTCCCTTTCTCACAAGACAAGAACTTGCGGGCACTCCATGAAATTGCTGAGCAGTCGGGTTAGAACGGATAAAAGGAAGTCCTTCACCCAGAGAGTGATTAACACAGAGAATTCACTGCCACAGGAAGTGGTGGCGGCTACAAGCATGGACGGCTTCAAAAGGGAATTAGATAAGCATATGGAGCAGAGGTCCATCAGTGGATATTAGCCACAAGGTATAGATAGGGGCTCAGGGGCAAGTGATGCTCTGTCTTCTTGGTGCTTGGGGGGATCAACAGTGGGAGGGCTTCTAATGTCCTGGCCCCACTGCTGGACCTCCTGATGGCACTGGTATTTCTGGCCACTGTGTGACACAGAGTGTTGGACTGGATGGTTCCTGATGGCACCTGGTATTTTTCGCCACTGTGTGACAGAGTGTTGGACTAGATGGGCCACGGGCCTGATCCAACATTGGCTTCTCTTATGTTCTTATGTCTGGGGCAAGTGATGTTCTGTATTCTTGGTGCTTGGGGGGCGGCAGCTATGGGAGGGCTTTTGGAGTTCTGACCCCACTGCTGGACCTCCTGATGGAACCTGGTATTTTCGGCCACTTTGTGACACAGAGTATTGGACTGGATGGGCCACTGGCCTGATCCAACATTGGCTTCTCTTATGTTCTTAAGGTGGCACAGTGTAGCCCACATAACAACAACAACGACCACCCCGCTTCTTCTTCTACAAAGGGCCAATGCTTCCATATTAGTGGTAGAAGGTGCTGTCAAGTTGCAGCCAAGTTATGGCGAACCCCGTAGGGTTTTCACGGCAAGATCCAAACAGAGGGGTTTCGCCACTGCCTGCCTCTGCACAGCAACCATGGACTTCCTTGGTGGCCTCCCATCCAAGTACTAACTAAGGCCGACCCTGCTTAGCTTCCGAGATCTGATGAGATCAGGCTACCCCAGGCTATCCAGGTCAGGGCCAAAAACATACAGAGGTGGTCCGCCATTGCCTTCCTCTGCATAGCAACCCTGGACTTCCTTGGTGGCCTTCCATCCAAGTACCAACAAGTGCCAACCCAGCTTAGCTTTCTGGGATCTGCCAAGTGGGGCTAACTTCCTGAAGATAAAAATACGTCTTTCATTCTGACCGGACTGAAGAGCTGGTGCTTCAGCCGACCAAACCGTTTGCTAGGCACGCCACCTCCCCTCGCCCCTCGCCCCCCAGCGCGAGCCCACAGCAGTGTCGGCAGGCAGGGCACTCACCAAGTTGTGAATGACGTTGGTTAAGGTCCACGCGACGGGAACACTGAAGAAAGGGATGCTGAGGAGGACGATGTGCAGGAGGCCGATCCCCAGGACGTATGAGAGCCAGATGCCGCGGCTGTTCATGACCCGGGTGTTGGGGTTCACTTCGCTGTGTGCCGTGCCCACGTTCATCTCTCCGGCTTATCGGCCCTGGGACAGAAGGCAGAGAGCAGGATCTGGGTGAGCAGGAGGCACATCTCACAACAGGCCCAGATTACTTGATCCCACAAACGTCCTGGCCTTATCCTGCTAGACCTATGGCGAGAGTCTCAAATCCCGAAAAATCCGCCAAGAACTTATTTCAGTCTTCCCCCCCGCTATGGTTGTAGCTCTCTGGTAGGTTGATTCCAGAGATGAAAAGACAGCGCTTGGCAACTGCAAGGGGCTGTTATTAATTTTTATTTGTCTTCAAGGCAAGCCGACAAAACTGCTAAAAAAACCCCTCTGGAGCCTGAAATTAACAAATTAACTTCCACCAAAGCAACTTTTCAAATAGCCGTTGGCCATTAGACATGGGACCTCTACGGTCCACATGGCAATCTCTAACACAGCTCTGAACAAAGTTTGAGTCCGGTGGCACCTTTAAGACCCACAAGGTTTTATTCAAGGTATAAGCTTTGTGGGTCTTAAAGGTGCCACTGGATTCAAACGTCGGTCTGCTGCTTCAAACCAACACGGGGCCACGATCTGGCTACGGCATAAATTATTTTGCTCTGAAGCCATCCTTCCCGAGGTAAGACCAAAATGTTTGAGCCGGAGGCTAAAAAACGTTGAGTTAGCTCACACTATTTCAGCTTAAAGGGAACACTGCTACCCACCTTAATCTAACAGAGCTCAAGGTGTTCTTTTTTTGGGGGGGGGGGAAGGGTCCTTCTGTGGAAGAAATGGTTTTCCATCCCCCCCCCAAGCAGCTTTACAAGACTGAGAGAGGGAGAACACCCCACAGTTCTCAAAAGGGGAGCATAAAAACACAACAGTGGGTCAACCCCTCAAATAGATCACTCTTAAAAATCACAGGCTGAACCAGCGCACCAAGTGTTTTAATTAAGTCTGGCTCAAAATCATGTGTTACGGTCAGTACAACAGAAATTTTAACAATCAACAAAACAGCTGCCTTGTGAAAAGACTGTCGCTATGTGCATTTCCTAGGTACGGAATAAACAACAACCACCAAAAAGGGGCGTGATTTACCAAACGTTGTGTTTTAAAAAGGAGTTGCATATTCTTAAAATCAGGCTCTTTCAAGAGCTTTGCAATTTGGGGGTAGGGGGGATATCCAGTAACACTTTCGGGATCAATGTTAACTGACATCGACAATTGATGCTGCACATAAGAGCCAGTTTGGTGTAGTGGTTATGTGCGTGGACTCTAATCTGGGAGAACCGGGTTTGATTCCCCACTCCTCCACTTGCAGCTGCTGGATGACCTTGGGCAAGTCATAATTCTGGCACAGCTGTTCTTGAAAAAGAGCAGTTTCTGTCACAGCTCTCTCAGCCCCACCTACCTCACAGGGTGTCTGTTGTGGGGAAGGGAAGGGAAAGGAGTCTGTAAGCTGCTCTGAGACACCTTCGGGTAGTGAAGGGCGGGGTATAAATCCAATGTCTACTCTCTCTCTACTCTACTATAAGAGATTTTGCAAAAATCCACCCCAGTTTTTAACATGAAAAAGAATCCCTGCTGCCCCTGGCTACAAGCCACTCCATCAATTCAGGCCAGTGCCTTTGGAGCCTCTGGACTCATTCTTCAACATCTAGGCATCCCCGCCCACCCCACAGGATCACTTTGCACAGTTTCCCAGCTAGGACAACAAAACATGCCACGGGAGCAAAGTCCACGAGGGAAGGGAGGACACCGCTCACCCAAACAGGCTCAGTTGGCCACGTGCACTGAAGGCACTGTTCAGTTAAGTGGCTGCCAGCCCAGCTAACCTTACCGGTGCTTGAAATTGCAACCTTAATTGTAATAATTCCAGAGGCGTCGTCATATGAAGCTGCTTTATATTGAATCAGACCACTGGCAAGGTCAGTATTGTCTGGTCAGACTGGGAGCCGCTCCCCGAAGTCTCAGACGGAGGTCATTCACATCACCCACTGCCCGATCTTTTTAACTGGAGATGCCGGGGATTGAACCGGGGACCTCGTGCGTGTCAGGGCCGGCCCCAGCTTATTTTGCACCCTAGGCGAGGATCCCTTCTGGCGCCCCCCCCATGTGTCCACCAATTTTCAAAAATAAATGCATTTTAGGAAGAATGAAAAACACAAATAATCAAGAAACTCCCAGAGTACAGGGCCGGGTGCAGCCTGACACCCCTAAGGGCTGGCCCGCTCTAGGCGATCGCCTAGTTCGCCTAGTGAGTGAGCCGGCCCTGTGCGTGCTAAGTAGTGGCTCTGCCACAGAGCCATGGCCCCTCCTCAACTCCTGAGAGCACACATGAAGCTGCCTTGTTCTGAATCAGATTGTTGGTCCATCTAGGTCAGTCCTGTCTACTCAGACTGGCAGCCGCCCTCCAGGATCTCAGGCAAAGGTCTTTCCCATCACCTACCGCCTGGTCCTTTTTTTACCTGGGGATGCCGGGGACCGAACCCAGGACTTTCTGCATGGCAAGCAGAGGCTCCGCCAGGGATTTCCGGCCGGCCCCTCTCGGAAATTTTTCTAAACATCACCCCAGGGCTGAAGGAAGGAGGCAACCGACAGCTCTAGGTTCCTACTCCACACTCGGCTAGGGTTGCCAACTCCAACTTGGGAAATCCCTGGAGATACCCGACATGGAGGTCGGTACCAGCGTTCCCCCTAAATCGAGTTACGTGTGAGCCAGCTCACAGATAATTTTCCGCCTCCGGCTCACCCATTTTTGCCTTCGCTCCGGAAGGGATGGCTCCAGAGCAAATGAATGTACGCAGGAGCCAACCCGCTCGCTCACAACTCTCATGCCAGCAGCTCGCAAGGAAGAATTCTTGCTCACAAGACTCCGCGGCTTAGAGGGAGCATTGGTCGGGACCAGTGTTCCCTCTAAGCTGAGTTAGTGTGAGCTAGCTCACAGTTTTTTAGCCTCCGGCTCACACATTTTTGTCTTAGCTCAGGAAGGAGGGCTCCAGAGCAAACTAATTTAGGCAGTAGCCAGATCACTCGCTCACAACTTTAATGCCAGCAGCTCACAAAGTAGAATTTTTGCTCACTAGACTCCACAGCTTAGAGGGAACATTGACTCGTGGCCCTCTTTTAATTGCAGCTGGCACGCGAGAGCCTGGCGGCTCGTGGACTTGCAGGCTGCTTTGTTGGTTGCGTCCCCAGGGTGGAGAGGAGCTGCCCACGGGAGCCGCGGGCTTTCCTCCTTTGCGCCAAGAAACCCGAGATAATCATGGTGATAATACTCTGCGGTGCCTTAGAGGCTAACAAGGTTTTATTTGGCGCTGCGCTGGCGTAGGGCTGCGAGTCTCCGGGTGGCGGCTGGAGATCTCCCGGAATCGCAGCCGGGCTCCAGTTCAAAGAGATCGTCTCCCCTGGAGAAAGGAAAAGGCTGTTTGGAGAGGGGGGCACTGTGGCATGCCCGTCTGAGGCCCCTCCCCTCTTCAAGCCTCCCCCCCCCCTTCTCCAGGAGTTTCCCAGCTTGGTAACCCTGAGTGGAAAAAAGGAGCTGTGGGCTCACTAAGGTTGCCAGCCTCCAGGTGGGGCCTGGAGATCTCCCAGAATTACAACTGGTTTCCTGAGTATGGAGATCAGTTCTACTGGAGGAAATGGCTGCTTTGGAAGGTGAACTCTATGGCCTTGTAACAAATGTGGAGTCCACCTGCGCCTTTAAGACCAACAAAGGTTTATAACAGGGATGAGGTTTCGTGTTGATGATGCACACTTTTTCAAATACATTGGAAATAGGAGAAAGTGTGCATGCACATGAAAGCTCATACCCAGAATGGAACTTCTTTGGTCTTGAAAGGTGCCACTGGACTCAGACTTTGTTCTGCTGCTTCTGACCAACACGGCTACCCACCTGGAACTGTCTTCTATGGCATTATACTCTATATTGAAGTCCCTCCCCTAATCCCGCCTCCAGGAATTTCTTCACCCAGAGAAGAAGAGGAGAAGAGATTGGATTTATACCCCACCTTTCACTACCCAAAGAAGTCTCAGAGCGGCTTACAAACTCCTTTCCCTTCCCCTCCCCACAACAGACACCCTGTGAGGAAGGTGGGGCTGAGAGAGCTCTGGCAGAAACTGCTCTTTTTCAAGAACAGCTCTGATAAGAACTATGGCTTAACTCTGGAAAGCGCATACCCTCCAAATCTTGTTGGCCTCTAAGGTGTTGCCGAACTTGAAGCTAGCTGCTCTTCTACCGCTGGGTGACTCGGCTACCCTCTGAAGCAGAGCTCCTCCTGCAGGTGGTGAGCTCCTACAGAGCTGCCATTTTGTTTCCTGAGTGAATGTTTAGGCTGCCCCTCTTCCACAGAACTGAGGGAAAGTGTACATGGTTTGAACCTCACAACAACCCTGTGAGTTAGGGTGAGCAAGAGAGTGAGTGGCCCAGGGTCCCTCCCCCATCGAGCTCTGGGGCAGACTCAGGTCCAACTCGACTGCAGTGCTGTGCAGTGTTAGGATGCTGTATTTGCAGTGGCACAGTTAGGCCATGCACAGGTATGAGTTGGCCAGGGCTAAATAGGGAAGCTCTGGGGAAAGAGGACAATGGTCGCCTGTGCCCTGACCATGATACTAGGTTCGGATCCTGTATTACACTTGTGCAAGGTTGTACTGCAAAACCATCAGGACTCAAAACACAAGATGAACAGCCAACAGGACAGGTACATAAGAAGAGCCCTGCTGGATCAGACCAGTGAGAGTCCATCTTGTCCAGCATTCTGTCTCACACAGGGGCCAACCACTTCCTCTGGAGGGCCAACAACAGGGCATAGAGGCCGAGGCCTTCCTCAGAACATAAGAGGAGCCCTGCTGGATCAGACCAGAGGTCCATCTAGTCCAGCCTCCTGTCTCACACAGTGGCCAACCAGCTCCTCTGGAGGGCCAACAACAGGGCACAAAGGCCAAGGCCTTCCTAAGAACAAGAGAAGAGCCCTGCTGGATTAGACCAGTGAGGGTCCTGTGTAGTCCAGCATCCTGTCTCTCACAGTGGCCAACCAGTTCCTCTGGAGGGCCAACAACAGGGCTTAGAGGCCGAGGCCTTCCTA